AGCCAGTATATGGGAATCAAATACGATCCCCTCCGACTGGTCTAAGTCACTGATCATCCCAGTCTTCAAGAAAGGCGAGAAGTCCTCTTGTGATAACCACAGAGGAATCAGCCTGACAAACATAGTGTCTAAGATCCTAAGTTCTATAATTCTCCGACGCCTGAGTGGAGCTCGGGAACAGCAAGCCCGAGAAAACCAGGCAGGCTTTAGACCTGGCCGTGGATGTATCGACCAAATATTCACACTGCGCCAGGTCCTGGAACATAGGCATGCTTACAGACGCCCGACAATAGCTGTATTTCTCGACCTGAAGGCGGCATTTGACTCCGTTGATCGAGAAGTCTTATGGCAGTGTCTGTCACTGAAAGGCGTGCCTAGTAAGTACATCACCTTATTGAAAGCTCTCTACTCGAACACTTGTGGGCATGTTAGAGCCTATGGTGAGTTGTCCAGGGAGCTATACTCATCAAGTGGTGTCCGTCAAGGATGCCCACTATCCCCATTCTTATTTAATTTTATCATAGATATTCTTATGGAGGTTTCCCTCTCGTCACCTAATTACAAAGACGTTGACCGGATCACAGGTGAATTTTCCTTAGATCTAGAATATGCAGATGACATAGTCCTGTTAGGTGAAGACGCTGACAAGATGCAGAGTCTTCTGAACACTTTGAGTGGGAATTTGAGAATGTTTGGGATGCGATTTTCACCACCCAAATGCAAATTTTTGCTCCAGGACTGGTCTTCAGCGGTACCGCGGTTAACAATAGAGAGTGAAGTGGTTGAGTGTGTTGACCACTTCACTTACCTGGGAAGTAGGATCAACCCGGTGGGTTAGTTGCCGATGAGATTTCTGCACGGATACAAAAGGCTCGATTGGCTTTTGCCAATTTGCGCCACCTATGGCGCCGCCGTGATATTCGTTTGTCTATTAAGGGTCGCGTGTACTGCACAGCAGTCCGCTCTGTTCTACTGTATGGCTGTGAAACATGGCCATTGAAAGTGGAAGACATGAGAAGGTTACAGGTATTTGACCACCGTTGCCTTCGTAGTATAGGACGTATTCCGTGGTGTCACCATGTGAGTAATGCAGAAGTTAGGTGTAGAGTTTTAGGGAGAAGAGGTAAGTCAGTCGACGAGGTTGTGAACCTTCATCGACTGAGATGGTTGGGACACGTACTACGTATGCCTAGTCACCGATTGCCTCGTCACACAATGTTGGCTGAGGTGGGTTCAGGCTGGAAAAAGGCCCGAGGTGGCCAGACTAAAACATGGCACCAATGTATGAAGTCTCTGACTGTTGGTTTAAGCCATGTAGGACGATGCAGACTAGGTGGTTGGGGTCCACGGGACAAGAGGAACCAGTGGTTGGAGACCCTAGGTGATATGGCTCAGAACCGAAGTCAGTGGCGCAGATGTATACACACATTATCCTCATCTTAACAACGCTATACCGAATCTCACTATTTTGTCACTCCTCTTTCCTTTCTTCTCGTACTTTATATTTCTTTTGACTGCATTCACTTATCTTCATCCTTCACCTCACTACCTTTTTACTTGATGTGCTGATATGAGGTGTGGCAACTCGGACCGTTACGCAGTAATGCCTGGTCCTATGTTGATAATGATGATGATGATGATGGTGTCACAGAATGATCATCTTCATGCTTTCTCCAATCAGTCTCACCACTATTAGATGGTGAATTGGATTAAAGTCGTCGTTTCGAAGTTGACAACATAATCGTGATCTCCGAGATTGCTCGTGTTGTGTGAAGATGGTTACAAAACTGTAATCTATTCGTAAACATGTTAGCGGAAATTACAGCATATACTCAAGACAGAACCTCAATAGTTTAAAGATTTCATTCAAAATCCATCTCCCAGTTGTAAATATTTCTTTGGAAACTTTATAAAGCAGTTTGACAAATTTGAAACACACTTGGAAAGCATAATACCTTTAAAAAAATTCGATGCACCATATAAAAATATCTTCACCTAATGGTATCTGAAAACTGCAGCCGATTAGATATGCTAAGTTCCAAAATACCTCTTTTTAGAGTTACTATTAGAATTACCAGAATATGACGAAATATTTATGTAACACCCAGTTTTCATATTTTTGATACAAACTTGCAGTACATCTTTTATGACTATTGAACACCATACTGTCATTTTGCAGCCTTTGATAAATGTAAACAGTGTAATGAGAAGATAAAGATTATCTGAAACATCTGATATATTAGTACTATGCATTTCAAATAATCTGATCACACATGGTCCTGCTTAACTATTTCTATGAGAATTTTACAAAAAAGGTCAGTGAAGCCAATAGGAAATATAAGAATATGAAGGACAGAGAAAATAAGCAAAATCTAAACCTCATCATTCTTATTTATTGATATACTTGCTATTCTACGTTGTTTTGTTGGATTGAAATGTTCTACCTCTGTTGGTATATGGGCTCTTATGCTGTTGCTTCGATAGTGCCTGAATGTTATTTATGATAATTTGGTTGGTTGTGTCTAGCAGATAGGACGGAACGCGCTTCCTGGATTCTTCTGCTAGCCACAACCAACCAAATTATCACTTTTTTCTTAGCTTGAAGACTAAAATCAATACTACTTAGATAGGTCCAACATGAGCACGAACTGTTTTTGTATACATAAAAAGGGTTTGAATTTACTGATGGCCAGAACTTCGATAAAGTTAAGCACTTGACACTGATTACTTTGATGTAATACTTTAAAGCTGTTTTCATGTCTACTTTGTGACTTGTTTCTAGATTGTGTTTAGCATTAGATGAAGACGGACATCTATCACCTGTACTTATCAGTTCTGTTGAGGTCATTTGTTTTTGAAGCCAACTAGGTACATGTTTAACTATCCTCAGCTGAATATCACGATTATTCCTCCCTATTTACCTGTCCTCACATAAATTGATAAACACAGTGGAATGCGATGTGAACATTTATGTAATGTTTTGGTTTTCGTTGTAGAATGAACTTCGTCTTTTCTACAAATGATGACCTTGACTGTTTAACACATTTTACAGTTGGCTGATCTAAGCCTTTTTTTCCCAGTGAAGCTACAAGAATCACCTCTAAATGGCAATCCAATGAAGACATTTTTCTAAGGAACGGTAACTGGTTATTCGTCTCTTCTTCACAAGTAAGGGTAACGTGATTTAGAGGCAAGTTCATATTTAGCGGGAACGTCTCATAGTCAGGCTTTCCACTTACGACGACTACATCATTAACAGATCTCTAATAAAGTGAAACTCTTCTGATGAGGTCATCAACCATGTTTTCAGCATATGATGTGTACATCTCGGTTATCAACAGTCTTAATGGACAACCCCTCGTGACACCATGAATCTCTCAAAAATAATCAACCTGGAATGTTAATTGAAATTTGTCGGTACATCATAATAGGTATATTAATGATGGATAGTGGCTAGCAGCGGAATTCAGAATGGGAGTTTCGTCCTATTAGGGATTCGTCTACTGAATGTATCTGCCCCCAGTGAGCGAATTTGTCCCCACTGGGACTCGAACTCGGTACCGATAGCTTCAAACGCCAGGGCGTTACCCACTAGACCATCGGTTCATTTAACGATGGGATAGTACAGGCAACAACTATAAAACCACACCCGTCGCACTAAAAGTGGCTATGGTGACTCACTGGCCTGGTGGATATCGCTCTGGCGTTTGAAGCCGAGTTCGAGTCCTAATGGGAATAACATCACTCACTGGGAGGCAGATACATCCGACTAACGTGTCCCAAGTAGGACGAAACTCACATTATGTATTCCACTGACAGCCATTATCTATCATTAATAAATTGTTCAAACACGGGTAATATCGAGGCATCTGCGTAGGAGCTCAATTTGGTCCACTCAACGACGGAATAATACAAGCAACAACATTAATGATAATAAAAAATTAGGGATTGAGAAAACAACACTGTTTGAAAAAAATATAGTCACGTAAAATATCAATCGTCTTTACCAGGGATACACTAGTAAATAAAGAATTTGCATCGAAAGAGTACATATCACTTAAACAGTAAATAAGATCAGATGTATCTTTCAATGAGAACTTACATAAATGGCTAGTGATAGGACTCAAGAGTTTTGCCAACCATCTGAGTGAATTATGTGTGCGCAGTTGATGCATAGACAGCATTGAACGCAGAGAACTGTTAGGTTTATATGTTTTAGGTAACCCATAAAGATGTAAATGTTAAGTTCCCATAGGTTTCAGACAACTCGATTCATCTTTACTGAATAAATTCATGCTGAGCATTTTCATCATTTTATAATTGACTTTTTCAATCTACTCATTTTTTCTAAGGGTACGTCTAAGATAAATGATGTTTCATGCTGACTTAATTGACCTTTCTTGTACAATTCTCATGTAAACAGTTAAACAAGTCTGTGTATGATCAGATTATTGTAAATGTATAGTATTAATACATCAGATGTTTCGGATAATCTTCGTCCTCTCATTTTATGTCCACATCATTTGGAGTCAGTAGACACATTTGGTAATAAATCAGAGATATTCTGCTCTACATAGACAACTGTAGCATACTGTATGAACATTCTGTCGTTCATAAAAATTCAGCTATGAAGGTTGGTAAACTCCTGTAGATAACTGAAAACGGAATTGTGAGAACACAAATTCTTATTTCGTTTCCCTTTTGTTTTTTTGTGATACACTGACATATCGATTCTTCATTGAATATTTTAGTAACATTGTGACTTATGATAGTCATCCAATTTTCTACTAAGTCTACAGTCATCTATGTGGATTTTCTGCGTTCTAGATGACGATACAGCAAAGTATTCATTATTAGACATTACAAACCATATTCAGGTAACATATTATTAGTACTATGTTAGTGAGTACATTTCATAAAATCAAATTTTTTTTCTCTCTATTTCTTATTTTTCATTGTGTTATCCCATGTTTACGGGACAAACATTTGGAAATAACCAGTGGGATTTTAGGCTGCTTTCTTATACCATTTTTTGTGGATTGTTGCAAAGATGTCAAACATGTTTGCCCATTCTGCGGTACTGAAATCGGTGTGGTTAAATGTATTTAAATATGGTGATAAGAATCAAAAGAGGAGTAAAATGAAATAAAATAAAATACCTACATATCTATGTTTGTAATATTATTCATATAAATGTTTAAGTCTTGATTATAGTTGTCTTATGTCTAATGAAAAATAAAAAAATAATTGAATACATTATCTCTAAAATCAGCCATTTTCAGTTGTGTCTTTTCAAACCAGAGAATCTTTCATACAACCTTCGTTTTTTTATTTTTCTCATACATACAAAATGATTTGGAAAATGTTGACCAGCTACAACAAGTACTGTAGCAAAGTTTGTTACATATCCAACGAACTTTTCCCTTGCCTTTTTGTTTCAGTTCATTATTTTATTATTTTTGAATGTCATTTACATTATTTATTGGGTAATATGCTGTTAAATATGCTTAAAACACAAAACTATATTTTTAATCGAATGGTTAAAGATAACCTTTTATTTTTAAAACATGAAGTAATATTAAAAGAAATACAATTAACAATACATTCAATTCCTATTTTCTATTTCTCAAGTTTTCTTAATTATGATCAAAAAACTTATCAAACTTTTTCTACTCATTTATTTTCATTTATGTATCTGTATTTCTTTCTATTCTTTTGCTTACCATTTAATCAGTGCAAGTTGAACGTAAAAACACACTGTTTTCTCAGATAAAATCGGAATTATCGGTAAAATAATTAATTAAATATACTCTGTTTTCTATCGTCAAAGTTTTATGACGGAGCTGGTGAACATTTCACAAGGTGATTGACTCTATCTATTGCCTATTTTTGGTCAGTGTAATCAGTTACAGTTAAAAGAATCAAAGTGTCAAAACCATTCGAAAATGTGTCGAAAATATCTATGAAAAAATGTTGAGTATCCACTAAACCTCGACTGAATATGTCGGCTAAAGCATCAAATCTCACCGCTAAACCTCACTTGCATAAAACGAAAGCCATTCGATAGGGTGAATATCAGGTATCACGCATTCCTCGTAAAACGCCAAGTAAATCACTTTGCTAAAGCACTGTTTATTATTAGTTTGAGGAGATAGGTGAAGGTATAAATCTATCGCACCTTATGTACATATGAAGATAGTCTATGTCGAAATATGTTTCGTAAACTCGTATATCTGTCAGACCTTTTCGGTCGCTTCGGTTGACAGGCTAATACTAAAATGAAGGTATGGTGAATCAAGTAAGAAAAGACCTGAATCATGATACAAATTACGACAGTGCCTTCTGGATTTAAAGTGTAGCATTTATTTCAGATTACATTGTTGATATATTTAACACCCCAACATTGAACTTTTGTTCAGTTGTACTGATTTGAAATTTTTGTCGGCTCGTTTGTCAATACAACATCCTGCTTTACACTCCACATTATCTCCCGGTATTTACACTGTCTGGTGCAGGTGGATCAGCAGTGTTGGGGATAGTAAATAGGCGATAGTGTATTGAGAAATATACATAAATTTGAAGTCAGATATCAGAGATTGACAAACTGGTGAGCCTGAGGAGACCAGACTTCCGGAAGTTTTACTGGTGGATACTATTACTGTTTTCGATTGTATACCTCACTGCAGTTACTAGCAACTACACACAATAAGGAAATATATACTGAGAATATTTCCAGCTGCTTTGTGGTAGGCATTTACATATTTGTTTGTTGTATTTTCCCTACTCTTGTTATTTTAAGTTCCTAACACTGTATATTTGCTGTACCAGTGCTGATGTCTTTAAACTCTCATAATCAAGACTTTTCGATGTGGGGTCCGTAGGTCTCGTTAATCTTCCTATGCCTTCTTTTAAGTTTATTGACTGGCAATTGTGGTTTGTCCGTCCAGAAAATTTCTTCATGACCAATCATATGACTTCACAAAACACAAAGTTTGGATACACAAGTTCCGTTTCACCGAAAGAAGTTGCTTAGCAAGTAAGCAAGGCATTACTGAAGCTCCAGGCAGGCACACCTTATGGTGTTTTGAAGCAAGAAGTGATGAAAGCTACTTCGTTATCTGACCAGAAAGCTGTCAATCAACTACTAAGTAGCGTATGCCCTGGTGACGGAACGTCTTCACAACTTAAGGGACATATCCAAAGTCTGTTGAAAGATAGGGACGTAGACAACCGTCTATTCTACGACTCTTAACTATGGAGACTTTCCTCATGTATTCAACAGATATTAGGTGTCGGAGGTGCAGACATTGACATCTACAGATGGCTGACATTGCTGATCGTATGTACGAAAGAATGTCTCAGCAGGTTGAAAGTATTGCTGAACCACACAGAATGACCGAGTAGCTGCTCTAGGGAGGAAGACTAATATACTTACAGATCTACTGACAGCTTTGCAGTTACACCAGCAGTCACCGAAGTTCGGTAGAAGTAGATCCCGCAGTCGTGGTAAAACCACGAGTACAGCTGCGTTGAAAGTAGCATGTGCTGGCACCATAAGAGGTTTGACAATAAAGCTCATCGTTGTCTGTTACCATGCTATTTAAAACCTGATTTTTCGCGAAATGGAAACTTCGGTGATCAGTAACGACTCCTGCGTACAACAACGCATTTGTTTGTTTCGGGTGATGGATAAGGAGACCGGAGCCTAATTTTTGGTTGATACTGGAGCAGAGGTGAGCGTGATCACACTCACACTTTCCAAAAAACACCATCCCACCCCAACCTTGATACTTCAAGCGACAAACAGATCTTCTATTACCACATATGGGGCCAGGATTTTAATCCTAGACTTTCGTTTTCATACACCATTCCAGTGGAGTTTGTTATTGCTGACATATATTCTCCTATCATAGGCATGGATTTCCCACAACACTACGAACTATTGGCTGACTATAGTCACCACAGACTGGTTAGCGTAATAGTTAATGTTCTATCGCGGGTATTGTCACAGAGACAGCAACAATAAACCTAGTCGTAACCCTAATAAATAGCACTTTCGGGTAGGATATCCTTCTGCGAGAGTTTCCCGAGCTCACACAAGCCGATTGCACAAAGTTCTTATCCAAATATATGGTGATACATCATATTCTTTCAAAAGGTCTCCCAGTCTCATCAAAACCTCTACAGTTAGACCCTAAAAAGCTGCAGATAGCAAAACAGGAGTTTGATAAACTTCTAAAGTTGGGAGTTATACGCCCTTCCAAGAGCCCATGGTCATCACCCCTGCATACGGCATCTAAAAAACATCATGTGAAATGTGACCTTGCAGTGATTATCAAGCGTTGAATAAGCATACGGTGCTTGATAAGTATCAAATTCCTCACATACATGAGCTAATGAACTCTATGACAAAAGTAAATATTTTTTCCAAGACTGACATCGTGCGGGCCTACTACCACATTCATTTGGAACCCTATGATTTTTCTAAGACGGCGATCACTACCTCATTCGGACTACTCAAATTTATTCGTATGCCGTTTGGTTTGAAAAATGCTGCTGAAACAACATTCCAAAGATTTATAGACCAGGTAGCCTACCTTTTGCTAGTGCATACATAGATGACTTAATAGTAGCTAGCGCATCTGAAACAGAACACCTACAACATCTGAGGACGCTTTCCGAACTACTGCGTGAATATAGCATTACAATCAATCCACAGAAGTGAGAAGTAGACAAAGAATCCCTACAGCCTTTGGGTTACATTGTTAATGCCAACGGTGTTAAACCGGTTCCGCAAGAAGTAGATGCAATTCGAGAATATCCTGTTCCGGACTCGTTTCGAAAGCTGCAAAGATTTCTGGGGTTAGTAAACTTTTATCGACGTTTCATACCTAAATGTGCTGAAGTAGCCCAACCGCTGACAGATTTATTGCAAGGACGAGCCAAAGTGTTTCACATGACCCAAGCGGCCCATGATGCTTTTGACAAACTGAAGCTGACTCTAAGTTCTGAAACTCTTCTCTCTTTTGCGATTCAGAGGCACCACTAGCCAACATGACAGACGCTTCAAATGTTGCGGTAGGCGCAGTACTACAACAGTTTGTTCACGATCAGTGGGAACCATTATCTTTCTTCTCGAAACGACTTAATGCTTCTCATCGCGATATAGTACATTCGGCAGAGAGCTACTGGCGATTTACTTAGCTATCAAGCACTTCAGATATATGCTCGAAGGGTACTCATTTATAGTATTCACCGACCGTAAACCACTCACAAAAGCAATTGATGCAAAGCATGACAACTACTCGCCGCGAGAAATTCGACATTTAGAATTTATTTCACAATTCACTTCAGATATAAGGTATGTCAAAGACAGCAAAAATGAGGCAGCTGATGCTTTGTTTCGCATGCACTTAAACCTCTTATAATGCAGCCATATCAATCTAGAAGTAATGGCAAAGTTGCAGGCCACGGATGAGGACTCAAAGCACTTGAAAGGCAATGTGAACACCTCATTACGTCTTGAAGAAGTGACACTTGATGACTCTGTATTCATCACCTGTGATGTATCCAAGGATAAACCACTCCCGTTTGTGTCTTTATCGATGAGACTCTTATTCTTTCCTAAGATGCATGGCATTTCACATCCTGATATTCGAACTATGTTTAAGATAATTACTGACGAATGCGTCCAGCCAAATACAAATTGAGTTCTTCGACAGTGGTCCAAAGCCTGTTTAGCATGCAAGCGATCAAAAGTGCAGAGACATGTTCTTTTGCCTACCGGAAGATTTTTCGCACCGGATGCCAGATTTGACCATATACATTTTGACATTGTTAGACCAGTACAAGCTTCAAATGGTTTCAAGTACATTATAACATGTGTAAACAGATTCACAAGATGGCCAGTGGCAATACCTGTGCATGATATATCTGCCGAAAAAGTTCCCAAAAACATAATCCAACACCGGATTTCTAGCTTTGGTGTCCCAAGTGTCATCACTACAGATAAAAGTGTGCAGTTCGAGAGTTGTCTGTTTCAAAAATTAACCGAACTTCTCGAGATCAAGCGCATAAGAACCAGTGCGTACCATCCTCCACCCAACGGTATTGTTGAAAGGTCCCACCGACAACTAAAACCAGAACTGACAGCTGTAAAAACTGATGACAAGTGGAGTGACAACTTACCTCTAGTTTTCTTTGGAATACATTCGAGTGTCAAGCAGGACACTGGCTGTTGTACTGCTGAGTTAGTCTATGGAATTACTCTGCAATTACCGGGAGAGTATTTTAACCCAGCAAAAGACATTCCACCGGACTTGAATAACTATGTGAAACAACTACGGTGCCATATGAATGCACTACGATTTTTGTCCTCACGTTACCGAGACAACCAACCGTGCGTAACTCAGTGCATCTCAAACTGCACTCACGTTTTTATCTAATATGGTGGCGTGCGAAAACCTTTGCAACTCCCGTATGAAGGACCTTTCAAAGTAATTAATAAATCAGACAAAACTGTCACGGTCGAATGCTCCGGCTGACGAGAAACGGCCAACATTAACAGAATCAAATCAGCGTTAATGGAACCAGACGTCAAGGATTCCAAGTCTGGATCCACGATAAAGCAACCGGAAACATTGAAAACCGCCATCATAAGGGAAACAACAACGTCGGAATCGCCCACAACTATTGACGGTAGTGGAACCACAAGGTACGGAAGAAAAGTCCACTGGCCACAACTTTACGTTCAGACAATTTACTTTGAATAAAACCATTTCACTAGTAGCGGTATTACTGTTTTTTGTTCGTTACCTTCTTTA